TATTTGAAGTCTTTGGTTATGAACAAAATTTAATTTAAACGTCTGTTTCACACGATTATAGCTGAATTATATTTTTATAATCTGTAATGCATGACATATTCAGTTCTCCCGATTGCAAATCGTCGAAAAATAGTTTAGAAGAAACGCTTTTGATTTTTCCTTACAAACTCTTTGATGCTGCAAACTTAAATTTAGGTTTAATCACTTGGACTCCAAATGGAAATGCAATTTCAGTTGACTCGTCGTGTTTTGAAGAGCAGATCATGTTTCTGCATCCGTACTTAGTTGAAATTCCAAACTTCGCCAACTTCAGAAGACAAATGCGAGCTTACGGATTCAGTTGGAAATTAATTAGTGATGACATTTTTGAATTTTCTCATGAATACTTCAAGCGGTATCGTCAAGACTTGTTGAAATTTGTTCTAACGAGAAGGAAGCAAATGAAATTGAATGCCTTAAAAGACAAAATAGATGAAAGCTATCTGAACTTGCCATCATCTGTGAACTGGAGAAGATCGCTGAGAAGCAGACCTGATAGCGTCAAAACTTTTCAAATAAATCGTTCAAAACCGCAAAGGAAACCTTACATGCGCCGTTTAGGCATCTCCCAACCTGTAGGCGTTGATGCTTTTTCGGATAATCAAGACAGCAACATTTCAAACGCTTTTTTCACGGAAAATGACGTAATGTACCTATCTGCAAACTTTTGCAGTCCACACAATTATTGCTCACCAGTTACAAATGATGAATATCTAAACAATGAACCGAATTTGTATCATAGCCAGATCAATTACAATTCATTTCCAAACGCACCGTTTGATAGATTAGATTTTGAAATTTATCACAGCTGTTTAAGCTGGATGTTACAGCACGATCCTGTTTTGGCGAGGGAATATGAGGTTGATATGTTGACCGATTGCCTGAAGAATATGCAGAAACATGTTGATGTACCAATTTATTTTTACGATTAAATTATATGTTTAGATTTCTTTTATTAATAACAAAATCTATTTTTCTGGGTTTCTTTTTTAGTTTTGTGATTTAAAATTTTCGTTTAACACTTATATCAATTAAATGATCATCTAATTATTGTCTTTCAAATTTGTGTTTTATAAATAAAATAAATAATAAGTTCATTGAATGATGTTGCGCATGATACCAGAAAATTGTCATGAACGAGTTAACTAACACTTACTAAGTCTGATAGTAACATTGACTGTTGCGCAAATTTATGACGTCACCTTCAATTTGTTCTATATGCATGCTGCAATAATAACGTGTTCCTTTATGTACATGCATTCGATTGCGTTGTTGGTAATGCTAGTCCGACCGCCGGCAGAGTTGGATCCAGACTTGTCGCCAAATTTGGATCACAGTTTTTACGAGGAAGAGCCAAAAACATCGACTGTGACCATTTAGAATCAAATATCTGGTAGTACAGTTTTCTGCCGAATTTTTTTTTAAAACAATGTTTTTTATGCATGCCGACAATTAGTTTACGAGTCATTAACATATATAGGCTAAACTTAACATGTATGTTCATAGCGGGTCTCCCGGATCCTTTAATCTGCCACTGAGTCCGACCAGGATAATGGCAATGTTAAAAATTTGATAACAAATACATCTTGGCAATCTTTGTTTTTTGTATTTTCATTTGAGTGTTTATAAAAAGTTTTGATTTTTTTTGTTTAAATCTTGGCTGCAAAGTTGGAATGTCTGCAAAGTTGTCCTGTGTGTCTGTGTTTGAAGTATTTCTAGATGGTTATATATTCGTTGCTAATCATATGTACCAAGCCATTCTCTATGTCTCTCATAATTATAACATGTTAAAATATCTGAAACTTCGACGTGGCTTACACGTGACTATTCCTAACTTCAACTACATTTAATTTAATCCCTCACGATTGTCATTTATTTTATTCAATTTTGAAGATATTATTTATCATCACAAATTCTCTCCGTTAAATAATTTACCTACATATATTAACCAATAATCACCAACCTTATTAATGTGGTGTCAAATCTGATTTCTCCGACCATTTCCCAATTTTCTGCACTATTAATAATATAGATGTCGAGCACAAAGCCGTAGAAAAATTTAGCCACGGATTTACTAAGAAAGTAATCAACCAAACATTACCTCCTGAACGCCCATCAATCACCCGCACAAATCAATTAAAAATATTAGGCATCACATTCACCTCCACACTCAATATAGCGCCTCATATCAATCACATCATCACAAAAGGCTTTCAAACATTTCATGCACTCAAAACATGGTCTCAGAGGCATCAAATTATTTGACACAGGGCCGGAACTAGGGTATTTTCCAGGGGGGGGCAAAAATCAGTGTGCCGCCCCCCCCCCACGACGTTATTATGCTACTACCGTAAGGTGTATAAATGCATTTTTTTAAATTACATATTACATGTTTCTTAATAAAATGTTTTATTTATGGACATATCAATATACATGTTAACACAGATACTTGACATAAAAAAAACAACTATATTATAGTTATAAAACGTGAAAAATTGAAAAACTTTGTATTACAAACAATGTCATTTGTCAACTTATCAAGTAATTGTTTCGTATATTATATTATATTATATTAGAAACAAATCTTTCTAGCTTTTTTAGCTGCAAATGTATTGATTATATCATCAAAATTGATAAGAGATGCTCGTTTGTGTTCAATTGAAATTATGCTTAAACTGGAAAGTCTCCCCTGTCCCATTGTACTTCTCATGTAGTTTTTGATGATTTTGAGTTTACTGAAACTTCGTTCTCCAGATGACACTGTGACAGGCAACGTGAGAAAGATTCTCAATGCAGTAGTGATGTTAGGGTAGCCTTCTTCTAATTTATTTTTATAAACGAGACTTAGCATTTCTTTTGATGTGGCTTTTTTTAAACTTTTGTCAACTGTCAAAGCGTGATGCTTAAAACTTTCTATTTCAAACATGAATTCATCAATGTTGAGATCAGCTGAGTATATATTTGCCAAATTTTCGGCTTTAATTTTTAGATCTGCTGTCTGCATTTCTTCAATTTTAACACCACTCAAAAACCCAAACATACTGTTTACATTATTCAAAGATTCAAATCTGTCATTAAGTTCTGTAATCACTCTGTTAATGATTTCTAACATAGTCACTTGGTACATATTTTCAACACTTGTCAGAGCTTCATCATTGCACAATTCATCAGCCATTTTTCTTTTCATTCTTGGTCTCTTTTCTGAAAATGCAGATGTTAGATTATTCATTTTTGCTAACAATTTACCCTCAGCAATGGCCTCAGATGGTGCAGACTCTCTGCAAAACTTCATAAGTGTCAAAAGACCTTTGAGGTTTCGGGCAGCCAAATCAACTGTTAAATCTTTTTTTTGTAAAAATTCGTTTACATGGTTAATCTTTTCTAACAATGCATGCCAAAATCTAACCATCACGATAAATTCAAGTTTTTGAATATTTTTCAAAAGAGAGCTGGCCTCATTCACAGTTTGAGGAGTTGAGAAATCATAGTTCTTAAGATCTTCTAGAGTCTGCAGAACTTTACTATAATGTTTATATACAGCTTCGACTGCATCTAATCTTGCAGACCATCTTGTTTTGCTTTCAGGTTTTAATGTTATCGGCACATTTTCTTTGAGAACTTCCCAACGTGAAGTTGAAAGTGCAAAAAAAGAATACAAGCTGTTCAAAGTTCCAAAAAAATTCTGAGCCTGGACAGTAGCACTAGCTGCATTAGCACCAACTAAATTGAGAGAGTGTGCAGCACATGGAACAAAATATGGCAGATGGTTTTTCTGCAATAATCTGGACTGGACTCCTTTATATTTTTCAGCCATATTTGCTCCATTGTCATACGATTGCCCCCTACAATTCTTCAAGTTAAGTCCATCTGCATCTAATTTTTTCAAAATTTCTTGACTGAGACCTTCACCTGTTTTGACACTAACTTTAAAAAAATCAATAAAACTTTCTTCTATTTCAGTTGTATCTTTTTTGACGTAACGAACTACTTGTGTCATTTGTTCGCTGTGACTGATATCCGGAGTGCAGTCAAATATTAAAGAAAAATATTTTGCATCCAAAATGTCTTGTATTATTCCTTGCTTTATGTTATTAGCAATAATTTCTAAAAACTCATCTTGTATTTTATGTGAAAAATAGGATATTTGTCCATTCTTATGCCGCTCAATGTGTTGTTGAAGAGGAACATTATAATGCGAAATAAGTTCAACTGTATTCAAGAACTTTCCATTAGATGGGTTGCTGAAATCACAATTTTCTTTAGTTCCTCGAAATGGACTTCCTTGTTTTGCCAAGAATAGAATAGCATCTACAATACAGCGCAATACCGCTTTCCAATGCAACTCTTCTTGTTGGATCTGATCTTGGAGTTCTGCATCAATACTTCCATTTACTAAACAAGATTCTAATGTTTTCCAAGAGCAAAAGCAAAGTTTGTGGTTAGATGAATTTTCATGTTCAGGCAACTTTTCATTAAGTTTTTTCCAATTGGTAAGTCCTTTTTCTTTAGCTAAAGAAGACATTTGATTTGAAGCTAAGTGTGGAAACAGTCTGCAGGGAATACAATAGAGAGCTTTATTACTTTCACTATAGGCTAACCATGATCTTTTCATTTTTTCTCCATTTTTGAGAACTTTATAAAACCAGTCTTTGGTTAAATTGCGTCCTTCTCGGCTACTGTTACTCAAATTTGGTTCAGTTAAATTTTCAAATCTCATTTTTGTTATGAAACATCTTTCTGAATCAGAAAAACTTTGTGGCCATGAACCAGGATCACTGAAATCAAAAGGGAACTTAGATGTCTTTTGAAGACTAGTTGTGGGGTCTTGTTGAGGTAATAATTCTTCTACAGTTTCATTTGTTGGATTGAAGTTGAACCAAAATACTTTCTCCTTGATCTCTTCTTTAGCTTCCATGTCATCTAAATACGAAATATTTAAAAATATTATTTTATTCAAAAGGATTCATAATTAATACACATTGTGCATAATGTTCCATTATTCAATTAATAAAATTTGAAATAATAAAAATATTTACCTGATTTTTCTTTTGAACCCTCTTTATCACTATCCACTATAATACTAACATTAACATTAGATTTGTTGAATAACGTTTCTAATTTTGGCGTTAGTGTTTTTTTCTAAGTTTTTTTCTGCCATCCATTTTTATTTTCGAACATGAAAACGACTAAACTAATCTACTATACTATACGATATTTTTCGCGGCGTGATTTTAAATCAAATAAGGGAAAGATTAAAAATAAGAAATAAGATAAAGATTCTGCTCATAATATTTGCGTTTATATTTTAATCTTTACATAGAAAAAAACAAACCAAAATAATTTAAAAAAAATTAAAAATGAGTAATATAAAAAAATCAAATTTACTTTGATCCATCATCCATATTATAACAAATGCGAATAAATTTTTCAAATTTTTAAAAAATGTCTAAAATTTGCCGCCCCTAAAATTTGCCGCCCGGGGCGCTTGCCCCCCCTAGTTCCGGGCCTGATTTGACATCACTGAATCACTCATCATCTCACGCATCAAATATGCAGCTCCCTCCTGGTCTGGTTTTGCTACACAACAACAACTTCAGCAACTACAATCTCTCATCAAAAAACTAATTCGCTTCAACTATCTACCTGCATCATATCCTACCGTCACTCGATTCAAGACTTCAAGACTGTTCAAGAAAGTAACAAATAACAACAACCACGTCGTCCATCCTCTACTACCACCAATTAAAGCTACAACACACAACCTTCGTCAGTGCAAACATAACTATCAAGTCGTCGCCCAATTTATATACCAGGAAAAGACCTTCATCACAAGACACCTGAAACATATTAATACTCACTAAAACTTTATCATTACAGAACTAGTTTTTATTTATCGATCACCTCACAGCACACCATCAAACATTAATACTCATTAGAACTTTATCATTCACAGATCTAGTTTTTAATTATCGATCACTTCACTAACTCACTAAGTCATCATCTAGTCTATTAATTTGCCGTTACTTCTTTTTATATTTCATTGTCAATTACTTTTCGTTTATTTATTTTATTATTATTATTTATTTTTTCTAACATATTTCATTTTTCATGTTTTAACATTTTTCTTCCTCACTTTTTGTATTTATTTACTCACTTATTTGTTTAAATTTGTACTACTGCCTTGCATGTTGTTACAGTTTCTGCGTCTGCCAGATCCTGATTTTTTAAAGAATAAAAAAAACAAATCAGGCTTTACCTATCACAAATTACTTGGGAACACTTTCTTTTGAAAATAATGTCGACGAATGCTGCAAAATTTTTCAATACTTAAGTTAAGTTTTTAGTTTATAACAAAAAATTTCGTGATTAAAAAGTCCACAACACGATGTCGAATAAACCATGGATTTCGCAAACCCAGAAAAGATTTGATTATCTATAATCAATTATATATATATATTTATGATGATCCATGATAACAGCAATAAAATTAAATCATTTTCATCAAAATTCAAAAAACCTTGGTTCAACTATAATCTGCTACAACAACTTAAATTGAAAAACAAAATATATTCCAGACTCACAAAATTTTTAAGTGTAGCTAACTTAGTTAAATATAAAGCAGCCAGAAATAACTTTACAAAATCCAAGAGCCTTGCTGAGAGCTAATTCTTTGAAAATAAATTAAATCAACTTAACACTGATTTTAAAACCAAATGGCGCTTAATTAATGATACACTTAACATCAACAAACCATCTCCAAACATAGAATATTTGAATTTCAACGATAGTAAATTTTCTGATAAAAAAGACATCTGCAACATTCTCAAAAGAAATTTCGTGGATACCCTTAATACGTTACAGCAAAGTTTTGAACATGGTGCTACTGAGCGAATTTAAATACTCACTAAATCAAATTGTCACTCCCTTTACATGAATTGTGTTAGTCAATCGGAAATTTACAACGTTATCAAAAATTTTAAAGCAAATAAGTCATCATCTCACAACGGTCTCAACATGCAGACAGCTAAATTGTTAATCAATGAACTAACTATACCAATAACGCATGTCTGGAATGTCCCTTTATGTACTGGTCTATTCCCTAATGTTTTCAAATTGGCAAAAATAGTACCCATTTAAAAAAAGTTGATAGAGATAATGCTGATAATTATCGATCTATCTCTTTACTCTCGCCATTCTCTAAAATCCTGGAAAAAGTTATGACTCTTAAACTGACTTCATTTTTATAACGTTTAAACATTTTGTCAAGTAATCAATATGGATTTTAAAATGCCCATTCTACTGAACTAGCCATTGCTGAACTATTCAAGAAAGTATCTAGTAACATAATCTAAAGTTAACTTTAGGTATTTTCATTGACTTAAAAAAAAACATTTGATCCAATAAATCACTATCTTCTGTTTAAAAAAAACTTGATCATTACGGAATCAGAAGGATATCTAACGACTGGTTTTTTAGTTACTCAAAAAATAGATCTCATTATGTATTTTTGAAAGAGGTCAAATCAGATAAACTTCCAGTAGACTGTGGAGTACCTTAAGCATCCATCATTATATTCATCAATGATCTGCCTGAAGTCTCTTCCATCTTGAATTGCATACTGTATGCAAATGATACAAATATTTTTTTTCCTCTAGTCCAACATTGATAAAATCAATAATAAACTACAAAAATTTGAAAGCTGGTTTATATAAAACAGACTTGTGATCAATGCATCAATATGTTCCTACATGAAATTGGGCCCCAAAATACTTACCAATGCGCATTCAGATCTTCACCTTACCTTGAGTAATGCTTTGTTACCTAAAACAGATTCGATCAATTTTTTGGAATATTTCTAAAAAGTAACTTATTTTGACAAAACGCATTTTGTCTATAATTAACAAGACCAACAAATATGTGGGCCTAATTTACCTACTATGAACGAAATTAAATAAGAACGCATTGATCTCTATCTTTATCTATTACAGTTTCGTACTGCAACATAGTTTGGGACAATGCACCTGCCAATTTAATTCATCCTATGTTCGTCGTGCTAAAGAGATTTGCTAGAATAGTTTTCAACTCAACACAACACAAACTCATTCGCCTTCGCTCATCTGTTAATCATCGCCATCACCTTCGTCTGCCGTCGTCATTGCAACTGCATCAACCAGTCAATACATCATCTCTCGTCAATAAAGGCTTCTCACATTGCTCACTATCAATATGGAACAGTTTGCCACTCATCATCCGTCACCAATCATCAATAGAAACGTTTAAAAAGCGATTGAGGCAGCATCTGTTTGAACAGGCCTTTGGTGGCAGTGCTGACATTTGTTTATTCGGGCGCCTCTGACGCTATGCATAGGGCGCTTTTAAATGACATTATTATTATTATTATTATTATTATTATTATTATTATATTAAAACAGGGCTCTCACGTTACTCATCTGTTTCCAGAAATCAAGATTATGACTATAAAATAAATTAATGCATTCTTCGTTTTAATTTTTGTTTTAAAATTTGTCCATAATCTGCTGCCATCGTATTTCAAAAACAGTCTGAGCCCCACCTCCTTGATGAACATTAGGCCAACACGTCAACAAAATACGTTCTACAATTACCCTCACAAGTCACTTATTTTTTGTACCAGTTTACTGTTCACTGGACCAAAACTCTGCGACAACGTCATTCCATCGGACATTGAAGAGATTAATAATATTTTTTGTTTTAAAAAACTAAGTTTCTACTTACTTATGATCCCCTTGTAAAAATTATCTTTTATTCAATTTGCTTTATGTGTTTTTCTTTTCTAATTTGCCTTAATACTCATTATTCAGATATTAGATTAATTCATATGGCTATTACATTTCATGTGTTAATATTTGTTATTTATTTGTGTTCTGTTCACATAGTAGAATTTTTTTTCGTTAAAAATATTAATATCATTAATTCTTGTCGTTAGTATTATTAACTTTTATATCTATTATCCTCGATCTCGCCTCGCTCGATTCGTCCAATCGTAATATTAATTTTCTTTTGTACTCTAATCATTAACATTGATAAGTATTATTCTTAATCGAATTATTACATAACTTCGGTCAACTTGTTCATTCAATGTTCGTCCGTTTGTATAAGTTTCATCGAATTCATTTATTTTATACAAATATTGTGAATATTCTGTTTATAAACTTGCTTAATCTAATTACTTTCCTCATGTACGGTTGATGTTAACGAGGTGGCTTTTACAAGTAATCGTTTATTTGGTCTTCGAAATTCATTTAATTGCTCTTTTCTTTGTTTATATTAGCTTGCAATAATTTGGTTTGGAATAAATTTTGAATAAATAAAAATAAATAAAATTTTAGAAAAATATGTAATATGCTCAAAATTTGCGTTCAACGGCAGTTAGTAATTTAGAAAATTTCGTGTGATTGTTGGTTGGCACAAGGGAAATATGGAGTTAGTTATTATTATCATCATAATCAGTATCATCACACAACATGCATCACTAATTCAATTGTTATCACGGTAATGATATAAATCATAAAACCATAAGTTATGATGCTCATGTTCATCTAGTTTTCTCAATTTTCTTGTCAAACAGCTGGCTCACCGCTCATGTCATCAGAGAATTAAAGTGTTTCTATTATTTCAAGCTAATATGAGGCTGACTAGGAGGATAATGAACCGACTGAAAGTTGATTGGTTGATCAGATCCTATCAGAAAAACAACGAAATTTATTTTCTGATCGTTTTTGACTGTTGAGACTGGGAGCAGAAATAGTTTGCTGCATTCTCAGTTTCTATTTCTAACCCATTGAAACATCTTCATTCGTTGCTCCTGTAAAAATAAGGATGAAAATTATAAGGATATTCTTTTAACAAATGTTTCATATATTTTGAAAATAACAATGTAACAGATTGTTCTTTTTTAAAGTAATATTAATTTAATAAAACTTTAACAATCATGTTAGATACATGCTAAAAATTGAGTAAGATGAAATAATTTACGTGTTTGTGAAGCAGCAGTGTTAAATAACTTGTGCAGTGTGGAGTTGGTTGCTCGAGTTTGAAGGAGAATGTTCTTTGTTGATGACGATGAATGCGATGACGATTTCGACGAGGGCCACGACCACCAGCGTCACAAAGAGGCGGCGCTTGTCAGGCTGCACCCACTCAATCATTTTTTCAAGTCTATTTTTTATAAAGCGCATCTCGTTGCAATGAAACAACATCAGCAAATATCTCTTTGCAGCCGTATCCCAACCCTAGATGAACTTACACAGAGTATATGTATTCTAGTATACGTATTTGTAAGTGATACATTCACGTTGGTGTATCGCTACAAATAAGAAAAACTTTCAAAAACTTTTTCAAAAATTAAAACACCGCTTGCGTATGCAACAATTTGAAATCATATATTTATTTATATACATATATATTTATATTATATGTATGCATATACAACGCGTATTAAAATATTTTCAACGTTGTTTGCTTGTCAATGTTGTAAGAATTATTCCAATGAAGCTTCCGTATGAGCGGTAACTAAAATAAAATTGTAATTTAAACCCATCTATGAACACGATTACAGGAAAGCAAGTAATACAACACTTGAAAAAATGTTGTCATGTATTTATATAGTGTATTATTCTTCCAACAAAACTCGTTCAGACGTAGCAGTGAATGAAATGCATGCATCCAACCACTCACCTCTGAAAATCAATAATCTCTACACATCTATGATACGCTCCATGCATGCACAGCACACTGCTCTGTATTAGACGGAAAGCGAATCTTAGTGTTCGCGCAATCACTGTCACAAATTGTATTTATTTTCTCTACAACATTTGACTCCTTTTAAAATTAATTCAGACTTGTGCACTTGAATAAAATGGAGTTGAATGTGTTACCAGCTGTTCCTGCTGACTGCTCTTCTCTTTTACATATCTTCTAATAAAAACCCAATTAGCTTTTTTTGCAAAAAAGATTCTTAAAATTCAATAAAACTTCATTTTTATTCAAAACTAATCAAATAACTTGCTTACGCATACTTTCCAAGTTAGAAAAACTTTATAATAATTTTTATTAGTTAGCAAATTAAAGCACTATAAAAGAAGCTTTTTTAAATATATAATTACTGCTATCTTGGAACTTTAATAAGATTTGGAATGTTTCAGGGACAATTCATGCAATCGTACAGAAACCTCCTACAAAATTTTCCCCACTTGTGCTTCGTTCATTTTGGTTCGTTGTTGTGATCGCATGTCTGATAGGTCCCACTCGCTAACAATGCACTCTACTAACCTCAATTTAAATTTGAAATGTTCAATACGAAAAATGTAATGAAGTACGCGAATGGTCGATCGGAATTCAGCTGAAACATTTGATAAGTAAATTTCATAAAATAAATTATTTACAGACGAAAACCAATAAATATAAAACAATAAAAACTTGGCGGAGCAAGAGTCGTTGTAATTAAAATTCCACTATTAAAATTAAAGATTTTGAAATTGTCATTGCACTGTACAACAACACACGTTTAGACGGCATTTTCCCCGAGATCGGGGGTTGCCGTTTGGCTACCTATGATGAAACCGAAATATCCCTCGACGCCATCCACATCTGTCACTCGCCTCAGTATCACGCAACCCCGCTTTCACCCTGTCCTTCTCCACCTGCTCTCTCCATCCCAATCGCGGACGACCCCTTCCTACCACTCCTTCAACCTCGAACTCCAACGCTCGCCTAATCCCGACCCTTTCATCCCTTCTCAACACATGTCCATACCACCGCAATCTCGATCTCCTTATCAATGTCACAATGTCCTCATTCAGTCCCATCATTGACATCAGCTCTGTACTACTCCTCCTATCCTTCACTTTAACCCCACACATCATCCTCGCCATAGCTCTTTCAGCCCTCTGCAGTACACTTTCCTCCTCTCTCCTCAACACCCAAGTTTCACCACCATATACCATCGCTGCTCTCACACATTCTTTATATACCCTCCCTTTCATCTTCACTGACCATTTCTTTCCACACAATACCCCACCCAGTTCCCTAAATTTCATCCATCCCACACGAACTCTAGCCGTAACTGCGCTCAAACATCCTCCATCCGCATTCAGCTTATCCCCTAAGTAAACAAAGCTTTCCACTCTTTCAATACCACCACTCAACCCCGTCCTTGCGTCCGTCCTATTAATCACACCATGAACACATTTCTTACATTTGAACGTGCCTTCCACCTTTTTCAGTGCCCCCCTCAAACCACTACATCTCTTATGCACCCATTTCTGACATCCTATACACAACACCGAGTTAGCCTTCACTCTCCTGTCACATACCCCACAGGGGTCTATTTTACTTATCACTCGCTCCCCACCTTCCCCACTCACCATTACCTTCGTCTTACCAATATTAACTTTTAACCCTTTCTTTTCAATAACACTTTTCCATCTGTCAAATTTTAACTGCAATTCTTCCATGCTATCAGCCATCAAGACTAAATCATCTGCATACAAAATCTCAAATAACAACCCCTCCATTATGTTTCCACACACAACATCCATCACAATTGCAAACAGAAACGGTGATAACACTGATCCTTGATGCACTCCTACCTTAACACTAAAAGCGTCCGACATCCCCCTTCCAACCCTCACCTTTGTCTTTGCCCCTTCATACAGCTGCATCACAGCTTTAACAAGTCTTTCATTCACTCCTTTCTTCTTCAACGCCCATTCAATGACCTTCCTCGGTACTCGATCAAAAGCCTTTTCTAGATCCACAAAACACATGTACAATCTTCGTTTCTTCTTTCTATAATTCTCCTGCAACATTCTCACCATGAACAACGCATCCACCGTTCCCCTACCAGGCATAAACCCACACTGCATTTCATTAACTGTCACCATACTTCTCAACCTCCTCTCAAGCACCCTCTCCACTACCTTCATTCCGTGCTCTAGTAATTTCACACCCCTATATGACCCACAATCTCTCACATCTCCTTTGCCCTTATACAACGGCACCAACACACTGTGTCGCCAATCCTCAGGTATACCTTCATCATCAAACATACTGTTAGCAATTCTCATCATAACTTCAATTCCTATCACCCCACTCGCTTTTATATGTTCTGCCGCCACTTTCGAAACCCCTGAGTCATTGCACTGTACATAGGTCAAAATGAAAGTAGTAATACTAAAGACGAATAGAAGCAAGCGCTGTTAGATAAAATATCAACACCGATGAAATCATAGATAAGTATGCGTGTAAATATAATTTTTCTGCATATCAAATTATGCGGCCTTTAGCTGAAGATTAGATATCCGTCCAGGACACCACGGATTTATTCTTGCCACAGGAAATGAAGTTTCTTCCATTGGGACTCCAGGCCACAGCGTACACTGCATCGCTGTACATTTGTGTCGGTGTGGAGATGTGTTCGCATTGATGTTTCGATGGAAAACTAATTAAATTTATTAACAGAAGATTATATATATCGTCAGCACAACAAAAGATCACATATGATGCCACCACAACAGATAATAAGAATTGACTAACGTATGACCCTTGGCAGTGGAATTCAGTTTATTTTCGTTGACGTCCCAAATGAAGATGCCCCCGTTGAGAGAGCCCGCTCCTATGAAGTTGCCATCGGGACTGGTCAGGCGGAAGAGGTGGATCAAATGAAGTATCAGGTCGAAAATCCGGTAGATTAGATGGAAAAAAATTAATTTCATCATTAATTTATAGTACATATATAAAGAATTAAATAACTTCATTATTGTATGCATGAAGGCTAAGGTGACACGGCCACAACATACAATAATATACAAACAATGCATATGCAGCAGACGTTTAACAACACGATGATCGCTTATAACTTATCAACAAATTTTCGTTTCAACACTTTGGACTATTGAAGGCATTTCTGAAGTTTTGCTCTTTAGTGTGTAACTAATAAAAATTTAATGGCACTTGAAATATTTATGTATGTAATGGAATAGATGCTATAGGTAGGTTATGATGACAGCATGAGAACATAAGGAAGAGTTGCATCAGGGAATGTAACCTGAAGACGGCTTTGTTGCAGTTGTGGGTCAGGAAGCCAGGAGCTCTGTTGTGGAAAGTTCAGTGGATTGATTGATCAATTGGTTGACTGATTAATTGACTGATTGATTGACTGATTGATTGATTGAATGATTGATATCATTTAAATAAAATTTAATTTGAATTAACCGAAATATTTATTGTGTTAATAAAATAAGAACAATAAACAATAATATTAACGCAAGAATTGGAAAATTTTACGATGATAAAAAGAGCAAACATCCATTTCGATGTGATGATGGGTATGCGATGGTGGGTGGTTGTGTGTGATGGTGGGTGTGTGATGAAATGTATGGAGGTGTTTGTCTGTATGATGGTGAATACGTGAAGATAGTCATTTAAAACTTACTGGAAATTGTTGACGATTGCTGTTTTCCTGACATCAATGAGATGGATGGCGTTGTCCTTCGTGCTGACCAACAAATGCTTCCTGTCTGTCAATTAACATAATTTATTCATTTCATATTGATACAGTGCTTCCTGTCAGTCAATTAACATAATTCATTCATTTCATGTTGATACAGTGCTTCTTGCCTGCCAATTAACATAATTCATACATTTCATGTTGATACAGTGCTTCCTGCCTGCCAATTAACATAATTCATTCATTTCATGTGACCAACAAATGCTTCCTGTCTGTCAATCAACATCATTCACTCATTTCATGTTGATACAGTGCTTCCTGCATTCATATTTCATGTCTATTCGTTAATATAACGCCGCAGGAGTAAAAAATGAGCGCTTATGTTGCTTAAATAAAATATTATAGTAACACTATTTGAATGGTCAGGATCATAGTTGATCGTAATTAATTCTATCCTGGTTACTAAACAAAAGTATTCATTTATTTCTCAAACAGTTAACAAATCCCTTAATCTTCAAGCTTCATGAACTTTCTCTACGCTTCCCTATCAAAAGTAGTGCACTGGCCACCATGGCATCCACTCAAGCAAACTTGCACCATCTCAAACACATCAAGACACGTGCGATAACAATTCATCTTCGTCTACTTCCCAAATTTTGCGACTCTTTATGATGGATTGGTTGAATGAGGACGACGAATTTGATTGCAGATGTACCACTATTTGTACAATTTTTATTCCACCACGCACACAACATCCGTCGTCGTCAGCAATCAGTTCAAATGAATTCAGATGAAAAAAAGGAAGGTTGGAAGCGTTTGAAGTGCTGGAAATTAGTGCTGGGAATAATTCTTTCTTTGAGAAAAATTATTCTGAGCGACTAGCCCTAATAAATCTTCCTCACAATATATGAGATAACGAACAAACATCAAACTGATGAAAACAAAAATGAAACCGGGCGAGAGGTCAAGCGAGGTGATTTTGTCTGACATCTCAACAGACTTCAACTCCTTCGGTGAGTCAGATTTGATATCCCAAAACCTGACCAGGTTGTCGAAGTGACCGCTGATAAACGTTGAACTGTCCAGGGTGACCAGGTCGGTGCACATGGAGCCCACAAAAAATGATTTGATGCCTAGTGGTGATAATGGCTGAACAATTTAACGCCAAGTAATTTCGATCAAGTAACAATAAATCTATCATCATTATCATCGTTGCCATCATCATCACACCACAACCACTACCATCATCATCATTATTATTATTATTATCATTATATACATTAATTCAACGTGCCCAATCACGAAAATAAGTGTTTATTCTGCATGTTCTCATTCAACCAGCCATCAGCCTCAACAAGTGCAATACAATACAATACAATACAATACAATACAATACAACAACAAACAACAACACACGTTTAGACGACATTTTCCCCGAGATCGGGGGTTGCCGTTTGGCTACCTATGATGAAACCGAAATACCCCTCGACGCCATTCTGCCGGATACTGAGGGCCATTGTCACTTCTGTCATCATAAGTAATTTATTTGGCTAATTTTTACGCAGGACGCCCTTCCTTACGCAACCACAGTTATAAGCGGTGGGTCTAGCCTTTGATGATCCAACATCACTCACAAGGCAGTGAGGGTCAGTTTAATGTCATAACCAGGACAAAATACAATACAATACAATACAATACAATGCAATACAATACAATACAAGACAATGTAATGCAACAAACAAACAAACAGACATGTGATGCTCTTGAGGTCCCAGAGCTTCAAGATGCCATCCTTGCCACCCGACACCACCCTGTTCGAATCCATCATGAACTTCGCTGACAAGACATAACCACTGTGACCCGTCAAGGTCGACTGGTGATGATGATGATGGTGGTGATGATGATCGCGAAGATGACGGTCATGATAATGATGGTGGCGATGACAGGACGGTGCGTGAGTATTTCATTTCATAGAATCAAAATAAATAACTTGATAAGTAGATGTGAGTGGATGATGATGTGATTGGATGATGGTGTGATTGGATGATGGTGTGATTGGATGATGGTGTGAGTGGATGATGATGTGATTGGATGATGGTGTGATTGGATGATGGTGTGATTGGATGATGGTGTGAGTGGATGATGATGTGATTGGATGATGGTGTGATTGGATGACGGTGTGATTGGATGATGGTGTGATTGGATGATGGTGTGAGTGGATGATGGTGTGATTGGATGATGGTGTGAGTGGATGATGATGTGATTGGATGATGGTGTGAGTGGATGACGGTGTGATTGGATGATGGTGTGAGTGGATGATGATGTGATTGGATGATGGTGTGATTGGATGACGGTGTGATTGGATGATGGTGTGATTGGATGATGGTGTGAGTGGATGATGGTGTGATTGGATGATAGTGTGAGTGGATGATGGTGTGATTGGATGATGGTGTGAGTGGATGATGGTGTGATTGGATGATGGTGAGATTGGATGATGGTGTGATTGGATGATGGTGAGATTGGATGATGGTGTGATTGGATGATGGTGTGATTGGATGATGGTGTGAGTGGATGATGGTGTGATTGGATGATGGTGAGATTGGATGATGGTGTGATTGGATGATGGTGTGATTGGATGATGGTGTGATTGGATGATGGTGTGATTGGATGATGGTGAGATTGGATGATGGTGTGATTGGATGATGGTGTGATTGGATGACGGTGTGATTGGATGATGGTGTGATT